TCAACTAAGGACTAAAAAATAACAAAAATAAGTCTCTATATTAAAATGGAATTGGAACAATTTTGAGGGACCAAAATTATATAATTTAGGTGATTATTTAAGTTGGAGGATCAAAGTATATTTTTTTTAGAATTATGGTACACCATCTATGTTTGCAGTGTTTTTTATTTTAGCCTCCCTTTTTTAATCCATCATTTTATAAGAATTTAAAATTAATTACTTTTTAAATAAGATTAAATTATCTAAAAAAAAATTAAAAAAAAATACATAAGGATAAAAGCACAATGAAAATCCTATGTGTTTTAGAGTATACTATAACTAGCCCTGTTTCCCTGCACTCAATTGCACAAAGGATTAAAAGTTATTTTGTTAATGTAAAAAAACAAATTATAAGCAATGTTGATTCATTTTTTAGCTTGAGGGAGATAAAAGTTGACTGTGTATTTAATCAAACAAATTGATTGAGTTGATAAAAAAATTGCTTAGAAAATTAAAAATAAGATAAAATATATAAATTACTAATAACTGCACAAAAAAAACTTAATAATTTGATAAATAAGATATATACAAAATGATATTTTTAATATATTTTAGAGTTATTTATTTTCATAAAAATTAATTATAAATAAATAAAATGCATAATGATTCTAATATATAGAAGTCATGCATCTGAGTTTAGGTTACCTAGCGTGTCTTATCTAATTAAAGAAAAGGCAACGCACACGTGTGGGTTTCTTTCTTGTGCCTGGTTTTTTTTGCTTTGACAAAAGGAGCGAATGACATTTTTTTTCAAAAAAAAAAAAGCAAATTATATGTTGTCTTCCTACCTAGCTTTTGATCACTAGAGAGGTAGCTTGAAAATACAATTGGGGGGTTTAAAAATTCATTTTTTAATTTATTTTTAATTAAAAACATATAATAAATATTCTTATCATGTAAATAAATTAATTTTTCATCTTAAAACACTTCTAAATCAATTAAAAAAACCCAAAATTAAATGGTAAAAAAAATCTTTTTCAACCATGATCTTTTTTTTTTTTGTAAAATGAAGACCTCAAAACACCTTAATAAATTTCTTTTTGTTGAATAAAACTTGTTTGACATCATGATCATTATTTTTTTTTATCATTATAATATGATCAAACAACAACTTTTTTTTTTTTTTTGTAGTTTTCTAGTGAGTTTCACTCTTCTCTCTTAAATCATTTAGTGACTAAAAAATAAATAAAATAAACTTTTAATATAAAATTAAAATTCCAAAAACTAAAAGGAATGAATTGGAGTACAAAGGAAAATATGGGGTCGGAAAGTACTTTTTACTGACTTTGAGATTAGGAGTGTGCTTTTTCTATAATTTACATTATGACCCTTTTTTTTAATTTGATATTTCAACTACAATATAAAACTTTATCTCGTGAGATTAAATAACAAAATGATTAAATTGAAAAAAAATGTTCACTAGCTTTTAGCTTGCCCACTCATTTTCTCCATGTTTTGCATTATGGTCCTCTCTATTTTGATCTTTCAATTATAATTTGTAAATTCTCAAATCTTTTATACATAAACCTTCTTCAAATTTTATATTAGGGAAATAAGTTTTTTTCAAAGTGAGAAATATACTATCGTAACATTATTTATGTCAAAATCATTGAAGGTAAAAAAAGGAAAATGATGGATCTCAAGTTTGATCTTGATGAGGTTTGTATAAAATCTCACAAAGATTAAATTCTCCCTAAAGATGATGAATAGGTTGAAAGGTTGATAGTGCTGGATTTGGATAACATAGCACCTGTAAAACAAGTCTCATATTAGTTTTAGGGCACCCTTTAATGTTTCAGTTAACACTAGGTATAAAGAAAATAAATCTTAGAAGGCTATGTTGTGTGTGCTATAGAACTTAAAGAAAAAACATGGCTCTATCTCAAGGAAAATTATAAAGGAGATGGTTGCTTTGAAGAATATGAAAATGGCTTATCTTAGGTAACTTTAAGTGACTAATTATCACTACAAGTAAGTGTCTCTCTGTCCAAAAATATATGTGACAGGCACATTGACCATTATACTTCTTTTGTGGACACATTTATATGAGTTTCAGGCTATATAAACAACCTTGAATCAAGTTTTGAATTTTATAAGCTATGTATTCTTAATGATGTTAATAGAACTAATCTCCAAGGAACACATGATCAAGAGATGTGTCTTCATTTAATGCATATATATTTTATCTGCATGGCTGGTGGTAACTAGATCAAATTTGATCTAAGGGTCATACACCCAACAATAATACTTAGGTTTGAGGTGTGTTTGCTCATCTGAAGATTAGTATAAATGTGATACTGGCAAGTCTCCTACATGGGATATTGTTGTATTGGGTTTTATGGATAACCTAGATCTAGTTTGGAGATGACATTACATGCTTGATGGCCTTTAAACCAACCTAGAGGTCCAATATGATCCCAATTCTCATAGAATATGGAGCCCTATAGTACAACTAGGCCCGAAAATGTGTGTGCTCATTTGAGCCATGGGATTTCCGGGTGAGCTCTATGTCTAATCATTGGTTCACATCTTTGTATCGTGAGGCCTAGTCTCGAACTATGAGACATGGGCCAGGAGCACTGAATCAACATTGACCATCATACATCTACTCCGTACAAGAAATACGGCTAGGGATGAACCCTTTCCTGTTCTTTCTATCTCATGGCTCCATATCCTGAAAGTAAAATTACACAGAACGTGAGTGAAGTGAGCCCAAAATTGCAGAGAACTGATTTTCACTGTTAAGCACAACTTCGTTTTCCTCAAAATCAGATAAAACTTAATTCTTTTCAAATTTTTCTTCTGTCGCGAAGCGTATTTGTGCCCCCAAAGTCGTCTTTGCAAGCTCCATCAAATTTTATCAAATAATCTCTTCTTAGAGCATTTTTAATAAAAAATTCTATATTAAAGAGTAAAATAAAAAAATAACTTTTTAAATAATATAAATATAACTTTTTTAATTATATGTATTACAATAATAAAAAAACTATTTAAAAAAACCAATTATATTTTTAATATATTTTATGCTAAATTAATTTTAATATAATCATATAACTAATTTAGATATATTTTAAAACTTTAAATATAGTTAAAAAATCTGATAAGTGTTTAGACAATAACAATTAGAAATTGAATAATAACAATTCAAAGTTAAACAGTAATAATAGACTTTCATGTTAATATTATAAATAAAAATATAAAAGAATTAAGTCATACAAATATTTATATGTTAAGATACTCTTTGTTTCACGCATTGAAATGAAAAAATAAATTATTAGTCAAGGACTATAAAAATAATTGTTGGTCAATAATTATTTATTTATCTTTTCTACATGGAAATGTAGAAATAACTTTTTATATAATAAATAGTTAAAATAACTACCTATTTATCTTATATGTAATTTTTAGATAAGAAATTTAGAATCCGATGGAACTTAATTCTTTTCATATTTTTATTCTATCAGAAAACGTATTTGTGCCCCCAAAATCTTTGCAAGTTTCATCAAATTTCATCAAATAATCTCTTCTTAGAGCATTTTCAATGGAAAATTCTATATTAAATAGCTATGAAGAAAATGGCTTTTTGAATAATATAAATATAATTTTTTTAATTATATACATTTCAATGCTAAAAAGCTATTTAGAAAAATTAATTATATTTTTAATATATTTTATGTTAAATTAATTTTAATATAATTATATAACTAATTTAGATATATTTTATGTTTTAAAACTTTAAATATAGTTAAAAATCTGATGAGTGTTCAGACAATAACAATTAGAAAATAGACAATAATAATTTAAAGTCAATAGCAATTCAAAATCAAATAATAATAATTAGAAATTAAACAGTAACAATTTAAAGTTAAACAGTAACAGTAAACTTTCACATGAATATTATAAATAAGAATATAAAAGAATTGAATCATACAAATATTTATATATTAAAATATTATTTGCCTCATACATTGGAGTTGGAGTGAAAAAATAAATTAGCCAAGATCAACAATTATTTATTTTTATCTTTTCTATGTTGGAAATGTAGAAATAATTTTTTTTATATAACAAATAATTAAAATAACTACCTATTTATCTTATATGTTAAAAAGAGAAAATAAAAAAATATAATATAAAAATATAATTTTTAATATTCGACTCTTCATTCAACTCTTTGGCTGTAAATGCTCTTATATTCTGCGAAAACTGTTCAAGCAGTATCGGGTTGGCAGAGTATCCACGAGTTTCGTTTCTTTTAGGTTAAGGCTCCTTCCTTGTTTATAACAATTTTGCACGAATTTCATGAAGTTATATATATATATGAGACTGCTAAGCACGCCAACACAGATCATCTTCCTAAGCTCAATTACAACGGAAGTTGACAACTTCTGAACACATGCATTGCCTGCAATATGGCAGGAAAGATACCGCAGGTAAAAAATAATGACAATTCCCCGTGAATGAATATAACTGCACAACAGTATCTTCTGTTTTTACAGTTGTTCATGTCCTGGTTAGAGTTCAGTAGATGTATTAAAAAAAAATTTTGAACATAAAAAAAATCAAAAATTTGTGAAAATACAATTGTACAGCGATGCCATACAAGACTGGCAAAAATTTATTGCCCACTTTAGTGGTGTGACAGATAGCCTCTACTTTTATGTTTTAAAAATATTTAAAAAAAAATTAATTTTTTTTATTTTTTATCTTTACTTCAAATCAATATTTTTTTTAAAATAACTTTAAAAATCAATCTACAACCGTTATCACAGCTACCTCCACCACGTTCTAATGATCAATGGAGTTTTGTCCTAAACAGAGAGAAAACGCGACCAAATCTCAAAAGGCTAAGAGGGAGGACAACATCTTAGGCTTATTATAGACCTTGCTAGCAATGTGTCCAGCACCACCGAACGTGCGTGCACATGTTGTGACAATCGACAAGTCTTCGGCTCTTGGCTTCATAGAAAAACATATTTCTTTGGCATTACATCAGATCTTACAGCTTAAACAATACAGGACAAGTGAACATGAAGACCAAATTAAGCACAAAACCATGGCAAATCACAGGAAGAGAACACACAAAGATAACTAAAAATATTGCACATAAACATTTCTTCTGCTTCTCCTTCTCCGACTCCAAGCAGTCTACTGAATCACCTAGGTTATGATGATAGAGTATTATATAGCACTTAACAAGCAACTGTCTACTGGGAAATTCATTTCCAAATGTAACCATAAATTTCAACAAAATTAACAATAAAAATAAAGTGTAATGACACTAGTGACAGGACTGATCAGACCAGGATAGATGGTGAACAGCACAGATTAAACGAACAAGATGATAATAGAATGTACTTTGTGTATTGTAGCACCGGCAGCCTCAAACTCTTCTGCTTTAGCCTCTCACAGCTAACAAAGAAGGAATAGCAGACAAGTTTGGAGTGGTCTGCTTGACGTTTCTTTTTCCATCTTTTGAAGAGGGTTTGCTGCCAAAAGCTCTCATCGGGCTAGCAAAAGCCCAACCCCAGCTCCTGCTTCTTCCATGAGCAAGAGGCCCAGCTCCTGATGATTTCCCATTCATGTCTTCAGCTGATGATGAGACCCAGTAAGATGATGATGAGGAGGAAGACGAGGATGAGGTCATGTTGAACCCACCGAAGATACCGCCACACCTGACCCTCTCTTTCATGTGAGAAGCCCCAGAAGTGACCTTTGGCTTGCCTTCCCTTTGGGACTCCACTCTTCTTAGAGTGCAATCACCAAACCCAGTAGAGATTCTCTCAAAGAAGTCACCAGAGAAGCTCCTGCTCCCACACCCAACAGATCTAGATCTCGACACCTTTCTCTCAAAATTGGAAGCAGAGGCAGTTGCTTGGCTGTTAGGACTATCATCATCATCCTCCACTACCACAATACTGTCACCTTTCCTTGACAAAGAAGACCCCAACCACTTCTCCTTTGGCCTCACCGTGGATCCATTTGTGGAGGTGGTGGTTATTGCTCTTGTAGTTACAGCCAAAGAAGACACCTTTTCTGTTTTCTTAGTTGAAGTGCCGGGCTTCGAAGACGAGAGATAAAGAAATGACCAAAACCCTCTCCTTCTTGGGCTAAAATCCTCACCATCATCAGTAGCAGCATCCAAGAAATGGCCTCTCATAGGAGTTGTAGTAGATTTGCTTCTCTTGAAAATAATATCACGATCTGATGATGACGATGCTACCATGATTTTCTTCTTCTTTTTAGCCAAAAGAAAAGGGATCCTGACCCTCCTTGCGTAATATTCTTGATAGTGACTATTATTTCCACCATCGTTTCTACATTTTGTTGCTGTGGGACGCGCCGCAAGTGATCGTGAAGTACCTGCACCACCATTGCTAGAGCCACCAACACCAATATCAGATCTAAAAGAAGGGGAAGAAGAGGAAGAGGAAGAGCCACGTAGAGGTAAAGGAAACGAAGAAGAGAGAAGCTTGCCAAGCTTTTCTTGAAGACAAAAGGCACAGATACCACCTGGGTTGTTTCTGTAAGGATGGTCACTGCATTGCATGCCATCCCCCACGTCTTCTTCACCTACACCGACTCTACCTCCTCCAACGCCAACTCCTTTCATATCCATCATGGAAATCTACGATAATACTGCAGTAACACAGCCAAAATCTTTATGATTCCTGGATAGAATATAAATCTTTTGTTGATGTCGTGGTCTTTCTCGGTCGAGGAGCTCTTGACTCAGCTTTTGGTGTTTTTGAGAGAGATGTGAAGAGAGATGGAAACAGGAGGAAGGGAACATACGGTCAGATTCAGGCAGTGTAAATTCCAATTTGTGATAAAAATACCAAGTGCATTCAAGCGTTTTGAGGGGGGGGGGGACTGACGAGGGGAGAGTCCCCAGGAGCACGTGGAATACTGACTTAGCCGATATATTTTAATGAGTGCTAAGCAAGACAAGCGAAACCCTAATAAAATACACTATAATATCTCATCTCTCTTTGCCACTTCCAAACACAAAAGAATCTATAAAAGCCTGTCTTGTCCTTCTGAGACTGATCGTAGGCCTCTTAGCTCTTATAATTACTAACCATTTCTTATCATTAACAGTAGTAACGAGGCTGCTTCACGTGGATACAAACAAATCTGAAGGCAAAATAATAATATCTAGGGCACATAAATTTTTTGCGCAGTGAGCAATTTATCATTAAGTCCGGTATAATAAATAAAACTTGACATCATTTATTTTTATCTGGTCAGTATTTTAAATTACATTATAAAAGAGTTGCTGTGATATAATATTGTTAATATTGTTAATTTTATCGGTTAAAAAATTTAGGATAAATTATCAAACTAGTAACTTAGATTATAAACTTCATTATATTCAATTAAATTTTTATTTTATTTTATTATATAATAAAAAAATATAAAAACAATTCAATATCAAACAAATATTAAAAAAAAAATAAATAAAAAATAAATATTGGTATATACTTCTTTCTTAGACATGTTTACAGGCAAAATCCATAATAATTAAACTTCTTTTATTGGGATCATTTGATATTAATAACAATAAGTTTCATTATCAAAGAATGATCAAATCAATTAATTTCACTCTTTTTATCATTTTCAGGTGAGTTTCTTTTTCTTCTCTTTAACTTGGGGACTATAAAATAGAGAAAATACATTTTTGAACCAAAATAAAAAATTATTGTTGATGTGGAGTTAGCCATATATTTTCTTTGTTTTTTACATTTTGATTCCCTATTTTTCAATTTTGTATTTTTATCATAATTCCAAGCCAATTTCTTCTAATTAGGTTATAAAAAGGTTTTATTAAAGGGAGAAAACAAAATTTAAAATTGAAAAAAAATTGGTATATATAGTGTAACTGATTTTATTTGTTTTAGTTGTTAGAAGCTATGAAAACAATATTTGACAAAGTAAAATTTCAAAATAATATTTTTTTAATATTAAAATGAATATGCTGAATTGATCTTGGTCATCTTGTGTTAATATGTTACATTTATAATCTAAATTATAAAATTATGATAACTCTATAGAAATCAAATCAAAATAAATTATGAAATATAATTCTTGATCAACCTAATATTAAAAGATAAAATTAAAAAATAACAATTAAAAAAACTTAAAAAACAACCCAAGTTAACATGTCAAACTTGCAGCTTGGATCACTAGACCAAGATAACCCCATAAAAAATAAATTAAAATAAATTATGAATTTCAATTCCCAACTAACCCAATATTAAAAGATAAAATTAAAAAAAGAAATAAATAAATAATAATATAAAAAACAACTCAAGTCAATCTTCTAGGCTCATAATCTGGGTCATCAAACTAAGATAACCTTATATATAAAAATTAAAAATAACCTAATTTAACCCGGGTTAACCTATCAAATCTGTGATTTTAGTCTTGAGATTGAAATAACCCCCTTATAGATAAATTTGTAAAGATCTAAATTAAAAAAAATAACATACAAAATAAGTCAAATCAACCTGAGTTAACCGTTAAAAACCATTTATGGGTCATAAGACCAAATAACATAGTGAAAAAACAAACTAAAATAAATTATGAAATGTAATTCTTAATCAAACATTATATTAATTGATGAAATTAGGGAAAAAATCAATTAAAAAAAATAAAATGAGTCAGTTGGGTTAACCCGTCAAACTCATGACCCGAGTTATGAGATAAGGACAACTCAATAAAAAACAAGTTCAATATTGAAGGACCTGTAACATGGGTCATAAGACCAATGTAACCTCTTAGAAAGAAAAAAAAAATGATCCGATTTAATCAGAATTAAAATCCCAAAACTCATGACCTTGATCTTAAGACCATGGTATTCTCATAAAAAGCAAAACAAAACAGGTCATGAAGCTTTATTTCCAACTAACCCAATGTTAAATAAAAAACAATCTGAGTCAATTCGGGTTAACACGTTAAGCATTATTCTCAGGTTATGAGACTGGAAAAACCTAATAAAAAGTAAAATAAATAAATTATAAAATTTAATTTTCAATTAAAGCAATATTAAAGAATGAAATTAAAAAATTAAGAAAACAATCCTGAGTAAATTGGGTTACCCATCAAACTTGGGATCTGTGTTATGAGAGTATGATGACTAAATAAAAAATATATAATATTAATGGATGAAACTAAAAAAAAAATTGATTGAAAAAAAAAAAAAAAATAAAAAAAAAAGAAAAATACTATTACAATGAAGAATGCTTTATAAGAAGAGGTACATTAAAACCCTCTCCTCTTTTAGTTTATAGTTAAAGTTATTTTTTATTTTTTAAAATTAATATGATTTTTTCAGGTTATCATTATCATTTTTTTAATGTGTTCTAATTTCTATCATTACCTATTTTTTTAACATATGATTAAAATGAAACCAACTTATTTGACCTGGTCTAGTCTATGACTTAGTCACATATTTTTTTTTAAAAAAAATTATTTATATTATTTAAATATTATTAACATAAAAATTGTCATGCAGTGTTGTATAAGTACATAACTAATTATACCTAAAAAGTCACATTTGTGGATGAGATTTTTTACATGGCAGATGATGAAATGATTGTTCATCTTATTTCCCTTTTGTTTTAGCTAACCATTAATTTAATTAAATTGTTTTACCATTTGATTTTCTCATTTTAAAGGAGAAAGAAAATCACAAAAGTTCAATCTATATTTTTTATGTGAGTGTTTTTAATCCGTCAGTTATAGACTTGCTATATGGATAGTTTTGTAGGGATATTTATGGATAAGTAGGGTAAGGCTAAGGCCAAGAAAAGGCTTTAATTTCATAAAAAAATCAAGATGATAAAATGACTTATAACTTCTAATTTGGTCATTGGATAGTACTTAATTTTTACTAAGAAGTTTTAAAAACTCAATTCTATAAGAAAAATTATTTTTTTGTAATTAGTAGAGGTCCAGAAGACCTCTAGATTAAGAACAAAAGGTGTTGTTGGGGCTATTTTTCTTACTTTTCAATCTTTATTTTTCGAATCTCCTGGTTTATTTATTTATTTTATTTAAAAAGGTTTAAGCTTCTTAGAGAGATAAACTATTTGAAGAGAAATTTGTTTAATAATTCAATTTTAAATTAGGGTTTTTATATGGTGATCCTATTAGATGCAATTTTATGTTACTTATGCTTATTGTTTTTCTTGTGTTATTTTTATTTATATTAGTTAGTATCAAAGCTTCGTGATTTTTTATGATTAGTTATTGTGTGTTGTTAAATAATTATAGCTGGAAAATGTTACATAACACGATATTTTTATATAAAAAAGGATGAGGAGGTTCTTTTTTAGAAAGATGATGGAAAAGATAAAAAGATTGATCGTAGAAGTTTCATAGTAGATAAAGATAAAATTAATTGCTATCATTTTAAAGAGGGGAGCTTAAGTTTGGTGGGAGCAATTGAAAATGTCTTAGAAAAGACAAGGCAAACAAAAGATTAATGATTATGAAAAAAATGAAAAGGAAGATGAAGAAACATGTTTTCTTTTAGGTATACCTGGGCTTTACATAAACAACTCTATACATTGAGATAAAGTGGAATGAACATAAACAAGTATACTAATTATTTTCACTAACTAGTGGTTCAGAATGATTTATTATAAGTTGAAGAACAGTTGATTTCTGTTATTTAAATGAGTTACGATAATCCATTAAGAACATGTTTTGTTTGAAGTGTTTATTAACAACTTTATAAGCCTATTAAAGGGCTTTGACTATGAGAATAGTAAGCTACTAGAGTAATTAACAAAGAGCATGTTTTGTTTTATAAGCCTATTAAATGGATTACAATAATCCATTAATAACATGTTTTGTTTGGAGTGTTTATTGACAACTTTATAAGTCTATTCAAAAGTTTTGACTATGAGAATAGTAAGTTACCAGAGTAACTAACAAAGATAAATTTTACTCCTGTCAAAATGATAAAGAATGTGCACTACCAAAAATAAATCACATGTTTAACTTGACTTAATAACTAAATAAACCACAGGTCAGAGTTCTAGTTTTTTATCTAGTTTTATAACTTGGTGCTTCATATATTATAAACTGGTGTTGAATTTTGAGTATCATAAGCTAGAGAGTTGTTCGAGTAAAAATATGTTAGTACAAAAACCTGATGAAGAGACAAGTAATCTTGTTTATGATGGTTCAAATGGTCATAAGGAGGTTTCGTAAAGAGATAACAATGTTATTCTAGTCATTCAAAAGAGATTGCCTGCTTCTAAGAGTGATTTATACGAGGATTGACTACGCACTAGTCTCTTCAACTTAGCTTGTATTATCAAGGAAAAAATATATAATATAATCATCAATAATAATAGTTGTGAAAATATGGTGTCGAATAAAATAATAAAAACATTGCATCTCAACACAAAAAAACACCCTAAACCTTTTAGTCCGAATTAACTGAATTGAGACAATAAGATAACCATAAACAAACACTATCTTGTTACATTTTTTATAAGCAAGAGAATTTTTTTTCATAGTATTTGATATAATGTTATGTTTATGAATATGCATTATTTATTATTAGGTAGGCCATATCATTACGATAAAAATATTATATTTGATAAGCGATTTAACATGTATAGTCTCAATATAAAGAAAAAATATATAATGTTGGCACCTAGGAGAGATGGGTAGTTGTTGAGAATAAGAGTAAAAATATCTATTTTTATCATAGTTCATGAAGAAGAAAAAAAAAAAAGAGCATGAACAATCATGATGGTGTGAGAAATGGTAAAGCGTGAAATAAGTTATTAATTATTAGTGATGATTCTATACAAATTAGGAATATTCTGAAAAGTATTCTAGACTAACTTTATTATAACATGATTATTATGGTGCTAGCATGCGAAAGCTTAATGGAAAGCAACCCTAACATCATTTTTAATGGCCGCTAATAATGGTAATGTAGGCAAATAGAAGGTA